TCCTCTAGCAGCCCCTATTTTCCTCTTCATCATGGAAGCCATAAGATCATTCCTGAGGAAGGACCCATCAATAGAGAAATTAGTGAAAGACAAACAACGTCCAATCCCTCTACCCACCACCATTATGCTTGCAGACGACCTAGCCGTCCTAATACGTGCTTCAGACTCGTCTTTCCAAGCATTGACAAGAGCAATGCAGACATTCCAAATAGCATCGGAAATGAAAATCAATTGGACCAAAACAATCGGTTGGTGGCTTACACACCCACGTACCGACACTCCACAAAGCACCCCGGAAGGCATGACTTGGTCCCGTGGCAATGAACCACTCAGATTCTTAGGAATACAGATGTCCAAGCATGGCCCTAATCCGGCTATGGCCCCAACAATAATGAACAAAATGATAGCCAAACTCGATAGCTGGTTTAAAGTCTACACTTCCCTATTTGCCAGAGCTCTAATCCTTAATGCATCCATATTTTCAATGCTATGGTACGCAGCAACAGTATGGAGCCCGCCAAAACGGGTAGGACTCCAGCTCAGAAGGAGAGCAGCAGCCTACCTCTAGTCTGGGGATCTCTCTAAGGTCAATTTCATATCAAAAGTTGCGTGGAGATATGTCACACTCAAGAAGACACAAGGCGGCCTAGGAATCCTGGATCCAGAGATACAAATCAAAGCTCTGCAAACCAAATGGATCCTTAAGATAATAACTAACCATAATCTTCCATTGACCAAGTTAGGATTGTACAGGATACAACAGCTAGCCAAATTCAAAACACCAAATAACATGAAGCATGACTTCCGGATCATGACCAAATCTTGGGCAATGAAGGGATCAGAGCGAGCATCAGAATTAGTGGAAGGGGAGGGACAACAAAACGATGATTTCTGGAGGCAGCTGATGAGAACATGGAGGGAAATCCTGCCAGCTAAAGTGAGGGAACCCACAATCAAGGAAGAAGTTCTCCGACAACCTCTCTCCTGCAATCAATGGATTCTAGACACAGAGGGCAAACCCTGGACCTTGACCGGTAAGGACACGAAATGGGGTACATGGGTAGAAAAAGGAGTATGGAAGATCAAACATCTATGGCATGACACAGAAAAGAGATGGAAAAAGGTTGGAGAACTAACGGAGATCTTGAAATGATGTCACAACCTACATGCGAACCTGAATAACATTTTGATCTCTATCCCGGAAAACTGGCAACGGCTACTCAAACACCCATGCTCATGGAAGGTAGGGGACTGGGCGACAAGAACAACAAATAATATTCCTACCTCAGCCTATCAGTTCGCTCAAGAGAAGGACCGAGGGGGGAATGGATGGTCTGTGACATTTTCCCGATCGAAAACCCAGGGGCAACTACAAGCCTTCTTAGTAAAAATCAATCCGGGGAAATTGCCATATCAGAACAATCATTGAGAAAAGTAAGGGTAGCGGAAATGGGAGAGCGATGTATTTACAACCCACTCACTGATATAGCGGATCTAGAGATAGGCCCAGCCGAGTGGGCATGGAAAAGAAAATCAGGTAGACTCGGAATTGAGAAACATACCAACATACTGGAATATACCACCAATATGGCCTATACACTAAGAACGTGTTTGTACCCTCTAACCCAGATCACAAGCCAAAGATGGGAGGAAAAACTCAACCTACCCCCCAATGGGACATTACTCACGACATGGAGCGACGTCTATGCCATCACGTCTGTGAAGATAAGAAGTTTCCAATGGCAATTGATGCACAGAGCCCTGCCAGTCAATCGATGGCTGAACAAGAGAAGAAACATCCAGTCAAGATCTCCCCTGCAAGAACGTTGCGCAATTTGCTCGGAAGGCTTAGTCGAGGACATTGAGCACTGCCTACTTCACTGTCAAAAGGCAAAACAACTGTGGGCAAAAGCTACTGAACTATGACACTCAATTACAGGCAAAACCCTCCCAACAGACCAGGTCCCACTCCTACTAGGCTTACACACACAACAAGCATGGCAAGCGTTCAAGACCACCTTTTTCCACACATTAAGACTCGCGACACTATGGATGATATGGAAGCGTAGATGCCGGGAGACAATTGACCACTCCACCCTGACGGCCCAGGAAGCATGGGAAGGAAGTCTTAAACCACCAGTACCTCGCTCAGCTATCAAGTCCGAGCCTCGGCCGACCGGTACGCCGATCCGTGTCGAGGCTCGGACTACCGGGCGCAGGCATCCCGAACGTCCATGTGAGACAGACGAAAAAAAACGGAAAGAAAACAAAGAAAAAAAACAAAGAAATAAGAAAAATAAATGGTTCATTCCCGCTGCCTGCTGTAGGAAGGCTTCCGAAAGGCAAAG